GACACTTTGAGTAGCAAAAGCAATATTTAATGACTGTAAGTCACTAAAAAACACTGAATAAACTAAAAATCTATAAGTCCAGTGATAATCAAAAAACAAAAGGAAGAAAAGAAAAATGAAAAATTTTCATTACTATGTATCATTATTACACCAATTTCTTATTCTAAAATGTTGGGGAAAAGCTGAGTGTTGGGAGGGAAACTGAGGCAGGGCTTGCATAATGTCCTCGGGAATATGCCTAGACTTGCTGGCTCCTTGCTGCTAGCCCTCCTAGCCTCCCAGATCAATTGTATTCCCATTATCTCAAGTAGCAGAACATGCTCCTCATAAATGCTAAACTCACAGCTATAGATCATGCACCTTTCCTTTCAACCGCCACATTCTCACCACCTGTTTCTTTGTTGAATTACCAATAAATAGCTTGGGCTCCCAGAGCTCAGGGCCTTCAGAGCCTCCATGATCATGATGGCCCCCTGGTCCCACTTCTCTCTCTCAAACTGTCTTTTTCTTAATCCTTTGACTCCACCAGATTTTGTCACCCCCGTGACCTGGTGTTCGGTCTGATCACCCCAACATTAAAAATCAAAAATTAAAGGGAAAGAAGTAAGCATTTACCCTAACTTTTCAGGAGAAATTGTGCCTTATTCCCAGATGATGAGGGAAAGCTTTTTAAAATAAATGTAGAAGAAATGCTAGAATCAGAAAATGATGGTCAACGAGGTATTTGCATGATGCCAAATATTACTGTATTAGTTTGCTAAAGTTGCTGTAGTGAAATGTCATACACTGAGTGGCTGAAGTAACAGAAATGTAGTGTCTCTGGGTTCTGGAGTGCAGAGGTTCAGGGACCAAGGCACTGACCAGGCTGTTTCCTCCTGAGAGCTGAGGGAGGGTTCCATTCCAGGAGAGGCTTGTAGGAAAGCATCTTCTCCCTGTGTCTCTTCACATCATCTTCCCCCTAGATGTGTCTGTCTCTGTGTCCAAGTTTCCCCATCTCATAAGAACACCAGTCATGTTGGATTAGGGCTCACCCTAACCACTTTATTTAACTTTATCTCTGCAAAGATCCTATTTCCAAATAAGGTCTCATTCTGAGGTACTTGGGGGTAGAACTTCAAAATATCTTTTTGACAGGGAACACAATTCAACCCAAAATTACCTTAGAGGTGACTTGCTCATGTTAAAGGAAAACAGGATATGTTTGCAATATAAATATTTGGTGATCACAAGCTTTATTAAGTGATCCATGTGAGCATCAGTAGCAGTGGGACAACCTGACCTCGTGTACCTCCTGATGTGACACACTAGGAAGTACACAGCATCACCTACACAGTCTGCTGGCCACACACAGCAAACCTGAACCCAGTCCAGTCTGCAGGCCTTCCTTCAGTTTACAGGAAGGAGAATCAAGGCAAATGCAACCCAAGCATCGCAAAGTCATATTCAGACAAATTCAGAATACAAGGCACTCTACAACACATCTGAGCTGCAGACGTCAATGCCATAAAAATAAATGTATCAGAACTTCTCTAGAACAGGCTTTAAAAAAATCAGATCAATAAGTAACAATATATGGCTCTTGACTGTACTCTGGTTAGGGAAAACGGGGGCTTTATAATAGAATTTTGAGACAATTGAGATTTGAATAGAGACTGAATATTAGGGAAGTAGTGGGACCACGTGCTTCCTGATGTACAGATATTGTACAACGTTTTATAGAGACTGTCCCTATTTTTAGGGGAAGTAGAGGAAGTGTCATGTTGTCTGCAAAATAGTTTCAAATGGGTTTTGTTACATCAATTTGTCATCACTGGAAGAGATTGTCACACCAACCCTTTACTCTGAAAATTCATGATCAAAGGGAAAAGGGGGAAATTATACTCACAGCAGATTTGGCAAATCTTAACAACTGTTGAATATAAATGCGAGAATATACCAGTGATCATTTTCTTTTGAAAAATTTCACAATAAAAAGTTGGAAGAAAAAGATCTAATTAAATAGATACTCCTGTTCACGGATAAAAGAACTTAATTTCATTCTCACCAAAGTGTCTCATCTATTAGATGCACGTACACTCAAAATCCCAGCAGGGTTGTGTGTGTGTCACTTGATAAGCTAATTCTAAATTGTACATGTATTTCAAAAGGGCCAGAAAATAGTCAAGATCCTCTTGAAGGAGATTAATAATGTGAGATTTTCCCCGCCATATATCAAGACTCCTAACAAGGCTAAAAGTGATTCCAACAATGTGGTATTACTGCAGGGATAGAAAAATATACCAATGGAACAGAACTGAGAATCTGGAAGCATAGAAGCACAGAATTTAGGATAGTGATGATGTCCAGGGCAGAGGGTAGGGTGGAAGAGGGATAAGATTGCAGAGACACCTACAAGGATTTCAGTGTTCTAGAAATGTTTTATTTCTTAGGCTGGTGATGTGTGTATAAGGGTTCAGTTTATTATTCTTTAAATAATACATATTATGTATTTTTATATATTTTATATAAAATTATATATGGTATATATAAAAAACTAAAATGGAATTAAGTGGCAAAAATCTGTTTATAGGAATTAAAATGTTTATAGGAATTAAAAGGTAGCAATAAAAAGTATGGAAAACTCTTTAAAGACACTTTAAAGAATGAAAGAAAGAAACTTTCATTATGAAGGAAAACTAAGCATTAAGACTGCAGTTGACAGAGGCTGAAAAGGTAGGGCTTGGTCTTGTTTGCTAGGTTGTTTTTTTACTGCCACAAAAGATCCTACAGAAAGGGAAATATTGATAATGCAGGAGAAAAAGGCAATGATTGTAAATGCCACAGCACAGCCACAGCGGTTGCCTTGGATTAGATCAGAGACATTTTCAGAGGGACAACAGAAACTATTGTCACAGGGGTAGAAAGCATTTCAGATTTCAGGTTGGAAACAAAAATGCTCTGCGTTGTCGGCTTCTCCTTCTTCAACGAAGTACTAGACAAAACCATTAATCTAGAAGATAGTGTGATTGCAGAAGGGGATGTGAGGTTTAAGAGAAGAAGGAGTGAAAAGGCCTTCTGCAGGGAGTAGGAAAGTCAACGCTTCAGGAAAATGTAGGAGGATGGCTGTGCCGTGATGAGCACCTATGTGAAATGTGTGGTTCTGAATTTACAGTGAAATGGGTCAGCACAGCTCTGACATTTTCCCTAGCTACTTTTAGTTCAGAAGATGCTTCGGTGGTTTCCATTAGGTAACCACCTAAGGATTCAGTCAAGGATGCAAACGTAAGCGCAGAAGGAATAGAAGACTGAAGGGAGTTATGGATATTTTTTTAAAGTAGTGGATGGAATTCCACATGTGGGCTAAGAATTACTGAGGTGGCACGGTAGAGGAAATATACATAGAATGTTCGGTACAAGGTGATGCTATTCTTGCTAATAATACAACCTCAGATGTAACCGTGTGAATGGCTGACTGAGATGGTAAGGAAGAAATGACTACTAAAAAAATCATTGAGATTAGGAAGCCGAGGCTAGTGGATCACGAGGTCAGGAGTTCAAGACCGGCCTCGCCAGGATGGTGAAACCCCATCTCTACCAAAAAATACAAACATTAGCCAGGCGTGGTGGTGGGCGCCTGTAATCCCAGCTACTCAGGAGGCTGAGGCAGAGAATTGCTTGAACTTGGGAGGCAGAGGTTGCAGTGAGCTGAGATTGCACCACTGCACTCCAGGCTGGTGACAGAGTGAGACTCTGTCTCAAAAAATAAAACCAAACAAAAAAAAATAAAAGTTAAATCAAATTATATAGCCGAGATCATGCTACTGTACTCCAGGCTGGCGACAGAGCGAGACTCCATCTCAAAAAAAAAAAAAAAAAAAAATTGAAAAACTAGGGTATTAAATGAAGACTTAAAATTGATGTCAAGGTCGCTAGGAATAACAACATGAATCTGGAAATAAGAAATTCTGTGAAACTGCAAGCCACTTTTCAACTGTGATTTATAACCAATGTCCTAACTTTTTAAGTACTTTTTCTAAGTGTAAAACTGTATTTATACATCTTAAATGCCAGCTCCCTGGTATACATGTTACCTTGTGACTGATTTGCTAACTAATAAAGAGAACATTTGTAATTTCATATTCATCTTAGAATTACCCATACTCTAAAAAGGTTCTCGTTATCCAAACAACAGTTTGCATAAGTTGGGCCATCAATGTAGTATCTCTCTCTTCCAAAGGACTCTGTTTAGATAATATTTATTAAGCTAACATGTTAACACATGGCGTCTAATAAAATCCCAAAAGAGTGATGAATACCTCACTGTGCTGGGGAAAAAAATAAAACTCTCAAGTACCCCGAGGGGGGGAAAGAAAATCTGTTTAAGGTTTTCAGAGCTGTATTCAAGCAGCAGATGGAGGAATAAACGTGCCACTTAGAATTCCTATACCCTTCCTTGGGCAATATAAAGTGATATAAGAAAGGCCAAACTGGCTTGAAAAATAATCATCCACTGCAGCAGCCTCTCTTCAATGACCAGAGTTAGGATTCATGAGGGATTAATCAACAGTGGGCCCCTAATGTATTTAAACATTCTCTTAATAGCCACAAGGGGTTGGCAAACATGGATGTACGTGGAACCCACAAAACCTAAATGTAGGCCACCATTCCACCATTCTTTTTTATGAGCTAAAGAGGCCATATAATCTCACCGGTAATACAAGTCTGGTGTTCTGCAGGAAATTCTGAGACTCCACTGTATACTATTGCCAGAGTGTACAAAATGTGTCATATACTCTGCTAGGAATAATGATACAAATAATAATAATAATTATTATTATTGAGATGGAATCTCACTTTGTCTCCCATGCTGGGGTGCAGTGGTGCCATCTCAGCTCACTGCAGCCTCTGCCTCTTGGGTTCAAGAGATTTTCCTGCCTCAGCCTCCTGAGTAGCTGGGATTGCAGGTGTCCCACCACCACACCTGGCTAATTTTTGTATTTTTAGTAGAGACAGGGTTTTACCTTGTTGGCCAGGCTGGTCTCGAAGATACAAATTATTAAAGCTCCTCCTTAGGGTAACCTGTCCAGATAAGGAGAGATTCTGGTCAACTTAAGCAGAGAGAAACAAGGAGAAATACTAAAAACATATTGGTTCCCTGTTCTATGCTTGACTTTCTCTTTTAACTCTCACAGAGTTCTTAGATTCAACCTTTACATCTTTATTCTGGTGGCAAATAAAAGGATATAATTTTAAAACATTCCACGAGCAAAAGCCTGAAAAGTACCATTTCCTTGATGCCGAGGTCAAAGTGACCTTGGTGTAATTGTTTATTCCAGTGACAGAAAGGTTGAAAATAATAGAGATGATCGTGCACAGCTGAGGGCTAAAGCAACAGAATAAAAATATCTGATTCCATGTTAGTACTGTCACAGTAAAAACATAAAGTTCTTGTATTTTAATATGTGGTTTGGCATGAAATCAGTCCCTAATCAGAGCCACTAAAAGTATGCCTGACTTAGCCTGCAGGAAGATTATGTTCTTCCTAACAAGAGACAATCTCAATTCTTCACGTTAAGCACCCCGAGAAATGACAGAAGGAACATGATGAGACCTAAAATAACAAGCAAAGGATGAAATTCAAGTTTTTATGGTAGTCAAAAGTTGTGGCTCTGGTTGTGGTATTTCTGTCTGTAGTATCTGTGTCGAGAGCTATAGAGGAGGGTCTGGGGCAATGGATTTTTCTGCAGTTTAGTGTGGGAGTTCATTACAATAAAGTGATCATTAGTTCAGTATCACTATAATGTGGCAAAGTAATATAAACAGGAAAAAAAGAACAAGTGGGATTTTTTTTCCCTAAAAACCCCGATTTTAAAAAATGTATTTTAAAAAATAAGGACATTTTAAACATATAAAAGTTGAGAGAATGACAAAAGGGGAAAGTATTGTTTAGACGGAGAATTTCGTTTAGTTTATAGGAGGGGAGGGAGACATCAAGAAGTTAATTGTAGAAAGGTTTGTATTCTTTTAATTGCAGAAGTGAAGGTATAGTCAATATCAAAAACCAATTTGACCAAAGAGAAGTTTCCACAGGGTTTTCTAGTACCCATTCTGTATTTGATTGTCCTAGAAATAGAATATCCACCTTATGGAAAGGAAAGTTTAATGCAAAGGAAGCAAATAGTAATCAGTTGCCAGGGCACACATGATATACTCAGCTCTGTCTTGGGCAATGTTTTGGGGAGCAGTTAGGGAGGAACATGTCTGGCTGTCAAACAGCAATGCCATGCACAGGAACACTAAAACATACAAAAGGCAAAGATTTCTCAAAGAACTTAAAACAGAACCACCATTTGACTCAGCAATCCAATTACTGGTTATATACACACAAAAAATAAATTGTTCTGTCAAAAAGATATATACACTCATGTTCATTGCAGCACCATTCACAATAGCAAAGGCATGGAATCAATATAGGTGCCCATCAATAGTGGATTGGATAAACAAAATACGGTACATATAGAACATGGAATACTATGCAGCCATGAAAAAGAATAAAGTCATGTCCTTTGCAGAAACATGAATGCAGCTGGAAGTCATTATCCTAAGTGAATTAGCACAGGAACAACCAACCAAATACTGCATGTTCTCACCTACACGTGGGAGCTAAGAACTGGGTACATATGGATATAAAGATGGCAACAACAGACACTGGAGACTACTAGAAAGGGGAGGGAGACAGGGGGCAAGGGTTGAAAAACTACTAATGGAGTACTACATTCACTACCTGGGGGATGGGATCATTCATACCATAAACCTCGGTGTTACTTTATATGCCCTGGTCACCAACCTGCACATGTACACCCTGAATCTAAAATAAAAGTTAAAATTGTGGGGCAAAAAGGCAAATGTAAGCCTTCAAGTGTGTGACAGCTTCCTGACGGTGCCGACTGTGGCTTCTCCTGCTGACCTGGGTTAGAAGCAGCATTGAGTCAAAGCTCTGTCTGCAGTGAGAATCCGGTTTCCCATCTTGTCCATGGCAGCACTGCTCCTCAGAGGAAACACCTGTCTGCATGGGACAAGGCTGATGGGCTGGCCTCTCTCTCAGGGCCTCAGGGGCTCAGAGCACTCAGAGGAGCCTGCTACGTCAATGGCTCTGCTGACCTGCCCATCTCCTCACAGGGCCGGAAACCTTCAGTGGGTGGGAGGGTAGGAAGGCAGGGATGAAATAAGCAGTCACCTTGGGAGTTTTGGTAATTAGGAATTCTGTGAAGAAAGTTTGAAAACATGAGCATTTGGTACATTTTGCTTCCATTATCTCCACTCAATTTGAGGATTACAATGAAGAAATTAAACATGTGCACAAAGTAAGCAATGAAAGTATTTTTAGGCAGGGCCACAGTGGCTTACGCCTGTATTCCCAGCACTTTGGGAGGCCGAGGTGGGTAGATCACCTGAGGTCAGGAGTTTGAGACCAGCCTGGCCAACATGGTGAAATCCCATCTCTACTAAAAATACAAAAATTAGCCAGGCGTGGTGGTGCATGCCTGTAATCCCCACTACTCAAGGCTGAGGCAGGAGGTGCGTGCTTGTAATTCCAGCTACTCAAGCCTTGAACCTGGAAGGCAGAGGTTGCAGTGAGTTGAGATCATGCCACTGCACCCCAGCCCGGATAAGACAATGACTCCGTCTCAAAAAAAAAAAAAAACAATATATATTTAAATAGAGCTATTCCTAAAATTTTTAAAAATCTACTAAAATATGTGTTTACATTTATAGAAATCAAAATTCATTTTTAAAGTTTGACTTCATAGGCAGCAAGTAGTTTTCATGATGTTCAACTTGGCACTTAGGTAGTATGCCTTCCTTATTCCCTTCCCCTATGAGCAACTTGTTCTCTGCCTGTCCTTTCTCGCTTGAAAAACGGATCCCATTGTTTCTTGCCTGAGTAACCTGCTAACTACAGTTTGGCTATAGACAACAGGGAGATTTATATTGAACTTCGTCATAATGAGTAGCTACTTTCTATTTTTCTAGGGAATCATTAGAGAAGAAATAAGATGAAGGAGATAAGCCCAAGAATCAATAAAGATATGCACAAATAGAAACTTGACCACAAGTAAATCATATGTACTAACTATTGGAGATACTGCAAGGTTTAGAGGGCTTGGAAAGAAAGGGAGAGGCAGTATTCAAACTCCAGAGTGAGAGATAAGAGAGATGGCCACGGCTAACGGAAACATAGAACATAAAGAGATGCAACCTGGAACTGCAGATAAAGGAGATTAAATATATTTACCCAGTAAGCAAGGGGGACTGACTGAGTGAAGAAGGGGCTATTGGCCAGGCGTGGTGGCTCACGCCTGTAATCCCAGCAATCTGGGAGGCCAAGGCAGGTGAATCATGAGGTCAGGAGTTCAAGACCAGCTTGGCCAAGATGGTGAAGCCCTGTCTCTACTAAAAATACAAAAATTAGTCAAGCATGGTGGCAGGTGCCTGTAATCCCACCTACTTGGGAGGCTGGGGCAGGAGAACTGCTTGAACCCCATAGGCAGAGGTTGCAATGAGGCAAGATTACACCATTGCACTCCAGCCTGGGCAATAAGAGTGAGACTCCATCTCACACACACAAAAAAAGTATCAAATATTGGCAGTTTCATATGGTGCAACCTAACAGTTCCTTATGACTGGAGAAAAAGGTGTCTGGGATGAAACAGCAGAGAGTAAGGTTGAGAGTGATGGACAGGACCAGATGTGGAAGAGCCACTTCTGTACCATTCACATTTTGAGCCAAATAATCTTTGTTCTGGGGGCCATCCTGTGCATTGTAGGATGCTGAGCAGCATCCTTGGCTAGAAAGAGCTATTAAAATAACTAGATAGCCAACTGTTTTTAATGGGTGAGAAAAAAACAGTCAGACACTGGATGGTCAGTAACGGAAATGTCTACAAAGAATAATGTTTATAAAATAAATGCCCTCCTGACCCCACTTTGCCCTCCAGCTACCATCTCATTTCTTTCCTTCCCTTCACAGTAACTATTTCAAAACATGTTTCTGCATTCCCTGTTTCCAGTTCCCACTACTCCATAGAAGGATTGTCAAGGGTGTCAAGGTTATCAACAACCTCTGTGTGCTGCTAACTCAGCTTTCAGTCCTCGCCTTACTTCACCTAACAACAGGATCACGTCTCACACTTTGAAAATTTGTCTTTAGTTAGCTTGGAAGCCAGAACGCGTTTTTTTTTTTTTTTTTTTGAGACAGAGTCTCACTCTGTTGCCAGGCTGGAGTGCAGTGGCACAATCTTGGCTCACTGCAACCTCCGCCTTCGCCCCCCGGGTTCAAGTGATTCTCCTGCCTCAGCCTTCCCTAGTTGCTGGGACTACAGGCATGCACCGCCACACCCAACTAATTTTTGTATTTTTAGTAGAGACGGAGTTTCACCATGTTGGCCAGGATGATCTCGATATCTTGACCCTGTGATCCACCCGCCTCGGCCTCCCAAAGTGCTGGGATTACAGGCGTGAGCTACCATGCCCGGCTCTATTATCTTTCTTACTCACTGGCCCCTCTTCTTCAGTCTCCTTTGTTAGTTTCTATTCTCTTTTATATAGCTACATGTTGGAGTGCTCCAAGAATCAGCCTTTAGACCTCTTCTTTTCCCTAGGTCTACCAGTTGTCTCACCTAACGTCATTACTTTAAATACCACTGAACCCTGACAATTTTGACATTTTTATCTCCACATGGACCTAGTTGGACCCTTCCTCTGAAACTCTAGACTCACATAGACAAATGGATATCTACTAGCACCTCGAACTTTACATGACTGTTCCTCCCATAGACCTCTTGGTTGATGGCAACTCCATCCTTCCACTGCTTGAATTATCCTTGACTTCTGATTGTTTTTGTTTTTTTTTTCCCCTCATATTTTCTGGTCAAGTCCCAACTGCTCTAACTTCAAAACACACTCAATATTTAACCACTTTTTATTATCTCCACTGCTATTAACCTAGTACCAATCACCATTATTAGAGCAAAAATGTGCAGCAGCAAGCTGTAGAACCTGTTGATAGATTAAAAAAC